ATTTGGATCACTTGTTGTTCCCTTGTCCCTGGGTTTGTTAACACAACTTCCTTTCTCCCCACCTCCCCCTCTCCCATGTCATCCCGGAACTGTCGGTCCCATTGTTTTCTCCTCCAGATTGTTCATCCAGCCTATTGTATTTAGACAGACCTGTGGAGATAATAACATGCACAAATACAAGACAGAGCAAAACCAAGTGACAAAAGAAAACAAAACAACAACAAAAAGCCAATGACAAAAACAAAAAATCCCATGACAACAACAAAAAAGAAAAGCTTGTAGTTAGTTCAAGGACTGTTTGTTGGCCTTTAGGGGTATTTTCTGATTGAGTCTGATGGGGTGCTAAGCCCTGGCCCCAAAGGAACCGACACCAATTCTAATCAAACTATTCCGGAACATAGAAAAGGATGGACTACTCCCAAATTCATTCTGTGAAGCAAGCATTACCTTGATACCAAAGCCATGCAAAGGTACCACTGAAAATGTAAAGTATAGACCAGAGTCCCTCATGAAGACAGACGTAGACGTTCTCAGTAAAGTCCTCACCAATAACATCTAACGCCTTATCCAAAATAATCATTTATATTTATATATATATATATCATGACCAAATAGGATTTATATTAGGTATGCAAGGATGGTTTGGCATTAGAAGAATAGCATAATCCAACCCATAATTAAAACAAAGGAAAAGAACCATATGATCATTCCAATTGACACAGAAAAATCATTTGATAAAAATCTAATCCCCATTCGTGATAAAAATTCTCAGCAAAATAGACTAGAAGGGAAATTCCTCAACATAATGAAGGTCCTAGATCCATAACCAACAGCCAACATTCCTCTCACATGGGGAGTGTGAAAGCCTTCCCCTGGAGACCAGGACCGTTCACCACTCTCCCTCATCACTGCACTGGGAGTGGTAGCCAGAGCAATTAGGCAAGAAAGGGGAACAAAAGTCATCCAAATTGGTAAGGAAGAAGGGAAAAACTCTGCTTATTTACAGATGAGAAGACTGCATAGAAAATCCAAGGGAGGCTGCATGGTCGCTACTAGAACTATAGAAGGATTTGGCAAATTGGCAGAGGACAAGATGGGCATAATCAACAAAATCTTCTGGGTTCCTTTATACTCCCAAAGAGAGCTCTGGAAATGAAATCTAGAAAACCATACCACCTACACTGGCTACCAAAGAGCTATAACTACATAGAAATAAACCAAATGTGTACAAAGAGAGCTGTAAACACTACTCCAGGAAGCTGAAGAAGCCTACCTCAGTGGAGGAACATGTACGAGAGCCTCGCCAGGTGCACGGAAAAATGGAAGTACAAGATCGTGGACTTTTCCTGTAACCTTTCTGAAGTCCGCTGTATCATGCTCTGGGGCAAGAAGCTTAACACTGTGAAAATGTCACTTCTCCCCAAAGTGACCCATGGATATGCTGCACGCCTGATCCTTATTCCACCAGCATTCTCCGAAGAGACGGAAAAACCCATCATCAACTTTACATGGCAAGGAAAGAGTCCCCAATCTCAGAAACTATTACACAGCCGTGGTCATCAAAACAGCTTGGTACTGGTACAACAACAGATATATAGGCCAAAGGAGTAGAATCGAGAATCCAGAAATCCATCCATCCACCCGTGGGCAGCTGATGTTCACCGAAGGGCCAAAACCCATGAGATGCTCTCTTTAGTAAATAGTGGTGCTGGCAAAACCGGATGTCCATTGGTAGAGAAATGAACAGGGTTCACCCCTCGCACCGTAGACATAAAGCACCTCAAGACAGATCAAAGACCTAAATGTAAAACCTAAAATCACTGAAGGAAAACTAGGGATTGATTTAGGGACCCTAATGTATAGCATAAATAATCTATCAGATATAACTGAAAGCTCACAAGTGACTAGGACTGTTAAGAACAACATTCCTGGGTGTCAGAGTGAAAAGAGAAGCTACAGACTGGGTGAGAGTTTGGGCGATGACACATCTCATAGAAGACTGCTCTAAAATGTACAGAAGCTTCCACACCTCGACCACAAGAGAGACAAAACCAATTCCATAAAAAGGAGGCAAAGGACAACTCTCCTGAGGGAGGAGCTGACAGTCCGACACAGAGAGAGTATGTTTGTCACTGAGTTGTCAGTTGATGAGGATGTGTGGAAATTCTTTCTTTCTTTTTGCTTTTTTTGTTTTTGTTCTTTTGTTTGTTGGTTTAAGATCATTTTATCAAGGGCTCTTACAGCTCTTATAACAGTGCATAAATCAATTGCATCAAGCATATTTGTACATATGTTGCCATCATTATTTTCTAAACATTTATATTCTATTTGAGCCCTTGGTAGCAGCTCCTCTTTTTTCCCTCCTTCCCCGACCCTCTCACCCTTGTGGACCCTTGATAAATGATAAATGATTATTATTTTCATATCTTACACCAACCACTGTCTCCCTTCTCCCACGTTTCCATTGTCGTCCCCCTCGGGGGTGGGGGGTCTTTTTACTGTTTATTGTGAATGAGTTGACAGAGGGTTTACAGAGCAGGTCCTCAGCTGTACATGTGACGGTTCAGACACACTTTGTTCCAGCTCATCCCTTGCCGCCCTTTTCTAGGGACTGTTTCCTCTGGCGACTGTGGGCTGGCTTCCGAGACATGGTATCTGGAAGGTCTGTCATTTTGCAATACGTAGCTTTAAGGCTCTGTCGCCTGCCTGTCCTGGATGCCAGCTGCAGATTTGGTTTCATTCTGACTAGTTGAAATGGCGTGTAATGAAATTTCCAAAGCAATTAACTGTGCCTCTTCATGAGTTAAACATATTGCTGCCCACAAGACCCAAGCTGCCAGTCGTAGCTTTGGTTTGTATGAAAAATGTGCACTGGAAATATTGGGGTTGGAGTTGTTCTTATTGTTTGTGGCATGGGGAAAGGCAGGATCCATTTGTTTGCTCATTTGCTGCAGACAACAGGAGCTGCTGCTCAGAAAAGGCAACAAATTTTAAAAGGAATCTCTGGTTTATACAGATTCTGTTAGCAGACTTCTAAAAGAGAATTGTTTGTTGTTGTTGTTGTTTTTAGAATGAAAGCTGACTCCATTATTCTCCTGAATGTGCATTTAGATATAATCTTTCCACCCTCTGACTCCCACGTTTCAAAGTGGGAGGAGAGTATAACTGACAGATGACGCTAACCTGTGCCTGGCCCTGCCTGTTCTTGTTTTCAGAGATGCTATAACAAAAATGAAAGATGTCTACCTAAAGAACCCTCAGATGGGAGACCCCGCCAGTTTGGATCACAAATTAACCGAAGTTGGCCAAAATATAGAAAAACTGCGTCTAGAGGCCCAGAAATTTGAGGTATGAAGAAGCTGTTCTTGAAAAGCTTTGTTGGCGGATAAAGAAAAAGAGGTGACAAGAAATGTGTAGTGTTCTGTAACCTCACTCCCAGTCCGTTCTCTAGGAGGGGACCCTCTTGGAATGTCAAATCATTTTGTGAATTATCAAAGGAAAAAGACTGTCCCCCAGTGAATGTTTGGCATTTGAAGGTATCCCATCTCAATTGTACCCCTGAGCCAACACGGGTCAAGTTGTGTTTGTCAAAAACGCAGTGGTTTTCTCTTCCTTTCTTTTTGCTAAGCATTTCCCTTAAGCTCCTGTAACTACTGGAGATAATCACAAGTGTACCTTCCCCCATCGTCCCAGGGAACCAAAAGGGGAGTGTTTAGGAAATGCATTGAACTATGTTGGTGGTGGTTGAAACAACGGAAATTCAGTCTCTTCACGTTCTGGGGGCAGCAGTCCAAAATCAAGGTGCCGTTCAGGGCCATGCTCCCCCTGAAAGCTCTAGGGCAGGGGTGGGAATGCCGACGAAATCCTCGATGCCAGTTAACGTCAGACGCCTCCCCAGAGAGAAGCAGTGCCAGCGTCATCGGGCACTGTTGTTGCTAAGTGCCATCGAGTCGCCTCCCACGCCGAGCGACCCACGCACAGCAGGACGAAGCACTGCCCGGCCCTGCGACATCCTCGAAATTGTCCTCATGTCTGGGCCCATTGAGCCATCACATTGGGAGTGAGCTCATGAAATGTTTGGCCAAATAGAGGCTCATTTTTAAGCTGATAATTTTGTATAGCCCTCTAATGGTGCTATAGCTATCCAAATGGCCCTTGGCAGAAAGAAAGGTCTCCTACCCCAGCTTTAGGGGAAGACTCCTCGCCTCTTCTGACTTCCGGTGCCACTGGCTTGTGAAAGCATCACTCCAGCCTCCATCTCCTTATCCCTGTGTTCCCTCTGCTTCTGTCTCGTTGCGCCTCTTATCGTCTCCTCTTCTTATAAAGGCCACAGTGACGAGCTCACTCCTCACCCGGATGGCCCGTGGTAATGAATTCCACAAAGACCATTGTTCTAAACAAGGTTGCACTCACAGGTGCATGGCATTAGGACTTCACCTTTGCCCTTAAGGGGGCACAATTCAGTTTATAGCCATGGTTCTCAACCTGTGGGTGGCGACCCCTTCGGGGGTTGAATGACCCTTTCTTTTTTTTTTTTTTT